ACCAAGAAAATAATCAAATAAAGCAAACAACTTTTCAACGGTTGACAGTTTTATTGTCCATAAAACTTTCTTCTTTTAATTTCACTTGCCCTCACTTTGGATGGAGCTTTCACACCCACAGACACACACCTGTCCTCCTCCTCTTCAGCTGAAATAACTGAGCCTTCAAAACATCTCCAGTTATTTATCTCACTTCTACCTATGACTTTTGCTGAATGCTGTCCTGCTTTACAAGGAATAACTCAGAGTTCCCAGCCATACCATGGGTAGACTGCATTTAAAATCCTTCCCCAAAAAAGATTAAAAGGGATGACAAAGCTGCCAAATAAGGCAGCTAATTCAGAAGACTGCACTATGTTTACAGCGCAGAAGGAGACTAGACAGTCTACACATAGGCTGCTCTGCTCTGAACTCACAGCCAGAGAGTTATAGTATGACCTCTTTTATAATCTCCTCAGTATTAAAGAACAATATAATAATCACGTTACACAGGATTCTCCTTACTACACTTTAGCCATCTGAAACTCCAGAGTCTAGTCTAAATCACCCTTCAAGGCTCCCTCCAGAATAAAATGTCTCCAAAGAGCATCTCATTACAGAGATCTAAGAGGTAGGCATAAGAGACCAGGAAGATACTTTCAAAGAATAAGCTGCTTGATCAAACCAGCTAATAAGATTCTGTTGTATTTTGAAAGGAATGGAGATACCTAAACAAGAGCCAATCTTAACCTCAGTTAAGCATGTGTGTCAACCTACTAATTATCTTTATATAAATCTCCTTGTCTGTTTCTGAAATGTGCAGTTAGATCATACCACAAAATCTAGCACACATTTATGACTGAAAATACAGTAGCAGGTCTTCTCAATTTTAATGATGTTAAAGGTGTTAAAAAAGACAAGGATGACTGCTCATTTGTTCTGTTATTATTGTTTTTACATCAGTGTTGTTTTTCCCCTGAACTGTATGAAATATGAGCACACAAAAGATAATCATTGGAAAAAAGAAGTGATGTTGACTTTCTCAGACACCTGAATTCAGGGGAGAAATACCATTACCTTGGTAATGACAAAGATTGCCTTTATTTTATCTGCATGTCCCCTGCACTACAGTAAAGACTTCTATCATTTATTTGTTCAAGAACATCAAAGGTAGTCTCAGGAGATCTACAGAATTTCAATGTTTTTTCTCTCTACGTGAACAAGCTGCTTTAATTAGCTTAATATGCAATATGGAATCCATCAGCAATTAGCATCTCTGATCAAAATCTGCAGTAAACTCAGTTTCTTCCAGATGTTTGATTTGCCTAGAGAAGTAGATGAAGCACACAGTTTGAACAGGTGTATATATATCAGTACTCCTTTTTGGTGTACATATTAATAAGAACTATCTTTACACAAAGTGTCCATTGGGCTTTTTATGATGGACATAATCTATTTACAAGATTTTCAATTATGAAAAGAGAAAGAGGTTTGGCTTTTCTGAAATTGGCTCACACATGTAACTCCTTTAAAAACAAGGCTTTTCTTCGGAAACAGATGAAAGTCTAGTGGCAAGAAGATAATCAGAGATAATACTCAAATACTACCTCACATACCTCTCAACATAGGGTAGGAACACATGCACTGTCAGGGAAGTCTGCCATTAGAAACAGGAGGGAAAATTACTGCTTTGTTTCTCCAACTTCTGCTGTAGTTGGTTTTCAGCACTTAATTTGAAATCCAATTACTGTTGACAGAGATCAGGAAGCAAACATACTTAGGCATGTAGACTTAGCATCCCTTGAGAATTCTGACGGAATAGCTTTGCTTTTTCCGTTCGTGTGCAGAGCTCCATGTTTCAACTTTGCTCATGTCTCCAAATTCTGCTTTTGTCAGAAGCAGTGTCTCCTCTGCTAAAATCACAATGGCCATCTCTCTAAACAAGTCAAGGAGCAGTTTGAGCCAGTTAAGCAGCAGATTTTTACCCTAGTATCTCCTAGACATGTCAGAAAGAAAATTAGCTGTGTCTTAGCATGAAGAAAAAACAAGTAAGACTCAGCAATGGACGAATTCAGATCTCAGACCTTTTGCACACCACTGTCTTCGTCCTAAATAGTACTGAGGTTTGAGCTAACTCACACCTCTTGAGGGGTCATTTCTGCTTCTCTAACCCCTCCCTGTCCTCTCTGTCCCCTTTATACTCATCTGATTTTCTTCAGCATCTCATTTTCAAATTGGAAATACCTTTTACTGTAACGTAAAGAGATGGCAAGCAAGGAAACAAGCAAGGACACTTCATGTTTTACAATGAAATCTATTTGATTTGAGCAGTATCGTATTTTCCACCCATCCAGCACTAAGTGTGCTTTTGGAGCAAAACAATATACATCTCTGTTCTTCGATCCATGACCTGCTTTGCAGGGAACAGAGAGGCAAAAAGGGACAGCAACATATCATTCTTCAATTTTTGCTGTTTGCCAGTAAAAACTTCCCAAATCAGTGCAAATCTTTAATCAAGGGGAAATTTTGTTCTTCTGGTGCCAAGTTTTGCATAGCAGAACCAAGCACAAATGCTAAGAGCTGAAGTGAAATCATGCTAGTCAATGAGGCAGAGCCTGCTTCTGGAAGCAGCAGTTCCTTTGAATTAAGGGTTATACCTTGGTCAGCACATTGAACTTCCACTGTGGGCCCTAGGATGCCAAGAATGAGGTCAAAGAGGTGCAATATTATTAATGTTGTGTTTTAAGAACAGAACATTGTCCATTCTGCCTAACTGTGCTTTCATTCTTTCTCAAACCATGTGCCCGCATTTATTGAGTGCTGGGGTTTTGCTGTACTAGTTCTGTTAGTCATTACATATTTGATATTGCACTTTGCATTTCATCACCCATGAACATATCTGGACTTACAGAGGATAGGTCACAAGGAAATAGAACTTCAAGACAAAAAAGATAAATAGATTTAGGGAAGAAAAGGTCAATTTAAAATAGATCTTTTTCCAGTGCAATTGAATCTACAATCATTTTCATTAGAAAAAAAAAAAAAAAAAAAGCCAGATAATTGTCAGAGCTACACTGGGTTAAACTCAAATTATGTTGCAGTAACTATTCAAAGAAAGTTACGTTAAAATAGAAGCAACTGAATAAACAATTTCCTTTCCTTCCCACCCTCTTTTGTCCTGCTGCAGCGCATAGAATTTTTACTTACAGGACTACAATATTTCCATTTCTGCGCTTGTATAAATCTTTACAATCTTACTGATGGCTGCAAATTTGTAAAGCTGCCCTAAACCCTTTCAAGCAAATATACCGAGTTACACCTCAGGGAATAATTACTGCCCTCAGTTCAGTATGACATAAACCCTTACAATCTCATTTCTGTAACTATTGAGAACAAGCAGCTCAGCCTCTGCAAAGACAGTGTTAAAAGGCTTAGCCCACTGTGGATGGTGCTCAAGGCAAGACACGCAATTAAACTTCTAGTTATTTTCTTAGTCTGTTCCCCAGAAACTCTATCTTTCAACAGTCAGATCATCACTAGGTGTAATTAGTAGGAAGCAGTTTTCCTTGTTTCATGCTGGGAAGTGCAAACAGGCACTAATACCAAACATACCAGGCACGTATTTCTTCACAGTCCTTGTGTAAATGACACAAAATATTGAGTATTACATAGTTTAACCACTGCTTACCCACCTTACATGTTTTTCAGTCATTTTACTTTCTGCTAAGGACAGAAACGATAGAAAACTAAAGCTGAGTAGAGGAAAGCTGAAAGACAAAACAACCCTAAAATGTTATGCCTGTTATTAAAGTAGCATGAATGATGTGGAAAACAAAGCTATTTTCATCTGCCCACCACTGGGTCTGCAACTTAAAACCTACTGCTCATCCTGGTCTCTGATGCAGACATCAGAGGCAATAATTCCTAAAATCAAGTAAGCTGTTTTGTCAGTAGCAAAATTAATGAGGCCTGGCCTAATGCAGATTTTTGTCTCACAGGTCATGTCCCATTTGGATTCTCTACTGTTTAATAAGAGGTGAGCTGACATTGCAGCCTTTATCACCATATGGCAACCAATTCATAATTCTCTCCTCTACCCACCTACGAATTTTCATGAAAGTTGAAGGAAATGCACAGCTTTGAAGAGTCTGCCCCCCTGCTGAACTCACCTGACACTGGTCAACACATTCAAAAAAACAGAAGAGGGAACAGAGAAAGACACAAACATCATGGCTTTTTTAATATCATTCCTTTGGGAAACCCAGCTAGAAACAAATGCTAGAAGAGGGGAATACTTGCTAATGCATCACTGAAACGTAAAGGCAATGCAAAACAAAAGTAGTATTATGAAAGAAGTCTGCTTACAAATAGTGAGAACAAGGCTGCATTCATGAAGAAGAATACCGGAAATCACAAGACTGACTTCCTCACATAAAGAAAAACAAGAGGTTTGCAAAGCCAAGCTAAACCTAAATACAAATTACACAGCATTGTCAGATGATGTCAGACCTAGCCAGGGAATCTTGACAGCCAGAGCTCTCAGGTTTTTAATTCTTTTTAACACATACAGTTTCACGGAAGTGTTCCTGACTTAAAAGAGCACAGGAAGAGATCACCTGTTACTGTTGATATGATTGTGTTGGGCTTGTTCCTGCCCAAACTGACATGACCTGTGCACTGTGTCTCTCTCCCCATCTTTTTCTCAGCTACATGGTCTTGGCCAAGCTCTAATCCTACACACAGCTAATCCTACCTGGTTGATTTAAGTCACTAAACCAGCAGCGAAGTACTTCAGTAAAAAAGAGCAGGCTGCTTCTGTCAGCAGTCTGACCGCACCTTCCCTTGTACAGATGGAGTCACTGGGCAACTCATACTTCTCTGAAACTTCTCAGAAATGGTGAAACAAATAACTAACATTTTAAGTCAGATACAGCAGTTTTAAGTCAATGGGAAATCCCTGCTTTTTGTGCTTTTCAATACATTCTGATATGAAAAAAAGAAAAAAAAAGGCTGTTACTTACTATTTGTCGTCTGTTCTCTACCAGGTAGATGCCAACGATCCCTAGGAAAGATCCAAAGCCAAGCTAAGGCAAGAACAAAACCAACAGAAACACGAGGTCAGCTTATTTGGTCAAGATACAAATGCATTACATTGATATCTGAGCTGATGTATCATACAGATGGGATAACTTGGGTGAGTCAAGGGAATGGGTGGAAGTTACTGCTGGACATAAATCATATAAAGTAATGGGGAATGACCACAACTGCAGCTCTTTAATTCAGAGCAAAACTTGTCATGCCCATGGCAGTGGGGTTGGAACTAGAGGATCTTATGGTCCTTTCTGACCCTAACTATTCTATAATTCTGTGAACTAAACAGAGCCTGCAGAGACATATGCTTCTATAACCTGTCCACTGTTAACCATAGTCACACAGTTTTAAGCTCTTTTTAAAAATTAAGCAAAGTGAGAGAACAGAACACTTACATTTAGCCCATATATCATTATTTTGGAAAACTGCAAAGCTTTAGGCAACTGCAGGCAAAGAGTTTTCCTCAAAAAATTTACATGTTTCTGTCATGCAGGTAACCCGAGTTCAAACCCTTAGGACTGTTTTTGTTTGACTTTAATGACTAAACACTATCACATATTGCAGCAAAAGTCCTCACTAAAACAGCAGAAGGACCGGTACAGTCAGTTTCAGCATGGGACAGCTGCAGTACCAACAGCCACAGGAGAGAGGAAAGGAAGGGATGCTGGAGTAAGCTGGCCTTGCTGTTCCTGCAAGTACTGCTTCAACACCATGCTGGCAGGAAAAGTCCCCTCCTTATGATGGGCCCATGAAAGCTGGAAGAGGTAGAAACTCCTTGGAGTCATGGTTAACATGAGGTACAGTGGCAACAGATGAGATCAGCCTCTGATCAGACTTTCCTGCAGTCAGCACTCCCACAGGCTTATGTGGGCTTGGAGAAAAAGGGTCTTCCTGGTGCCACACACCTGAGATGTGACTGGCCACCGACTCAGAAACACCTGCAGCAGGAGCACAGGTGTCAACAGGTTTTTTCCATTGACTTGCCTGGCCACACACTGCCCTGCAGTCACCTCAGTATCAACCTCACTTCACTTCCATACTCCTTGCTGTGCTCTTCACTAGGGCTGACATTCCCAGACTCACCCCCAGTCACCTCCTCAGCTCCCACCCAACCTACCCATGGAGGGGGCACAACATTTCTGCTGAGGAACCTAAGGCCCTTTCTGGAACGAGATCTCTGAATACGGTTCAGAGCCTTTCCTCCAAGCACAAGGTAAGTTTTTAAGGACAACATGTCCCAGCCAAGGACTTAAGCAATGCCCGTAACTCCTTGCTGTTATGCACAAATGCTCACAGCAGAAAACACATCCCCTGGAAGCACTTTACTCGCTCAGTACAACAGGAATCCATCACACCCTCTCAAGAAAGCAAATGTAGGGAAAAGAGAGCTGCTCTTGAGTGCTTTGGGAAGACTTGTGTGAAAGGGAGGCACAAGGACTAAAAGCAGAGACTTTGAAAGAGTGAGCAAGAATATTCATGCTGACAGCTGAATGAGAGAGACACTTGGAACTGTGAACAAGGACACTTTGTTCAGGGAACAGCAACTTTGTAAATTAAGACAACTACATCAAAATGACACCTGGTTCTAAGCCCCATTTCTCATGCCAATGGGAGTAATCCATAAAGCCCCATTTATGGCTGACGCAGGGGACATGGAATGGAGTATTATTATCTATGTGAAGAAAAAATGAGGAAATTCTGAACAATGACAATTAAATCAGAAGAAACAGAACTATAGAGATCACAATGTAAGCCATGGCATTGCTGAGATTGGTTTAGGGTCATATGCACTCCTTTTTTTGTCTGTTTAGACAACAGGCTATTTGGGTTGGGAATGCGAGTCCAGATCAGTATGGTGATTGGGACGATTGGACCCTGTAGACTCCTGGTTGAAGCACTGTAAAAATAGCAAATGAAAATAATACAAGCAGTAGTCATAGAGAAGTGACATTAAAGTATAAACAATATTTATAAGGAAGTGAGGCTGAAGAAGCTCCAACTCTGTCTGGCTTTGCAGTCCATTCCACAAAGACATTCCTAAACCCAAACAGATGATCAAGCAATAATCTATTAAATGCAGACACTTTCCAAAGTGGAACATTACACTAACTTGTCTACACACAGAAATATTTTATGTTCAATTGCTTTAGATGCATAAATGCAGATAATAAAGATGTATTTATAAAAATGCTTTTTCCAAAACAAATTACAAGTGACCACGTATGCAAAGAAATCAAGGCAGTAACTTAATTTCTTGAAGCCAGTGGGAACTAAGCAGAAGCCCAAATTATATTATGGACTTAGCCCTGCAGCCCTGCTCTGCAAATGCTTCTAGATGCAAGTAAATCTATGCAAGTGGATAGTCTTATTCATCTATGTAGGGCTTTGCAAGGTACATCCTAAATCTGCATGGGTTTTAAGACAAAGATCCTTTACCTAAGGTCGGTGGCGATTTAGATCTCACCTACCACCCCTGAAGTTAATATTTTGCTACTGGATTCCATGAGAACTAGATCTTATTTTCAACTGTTATTAACAGTCTGACCTCATAATCTTTCCTTTCTTTGAGCCCAGTAGTTAAATGTAGTGTCACATTCTTGCCCCAGCTTTAGGTATCTGAAAGTGCATGGTAAGCTCTATCTTGGTTTTCTAAGCTCCCCCTGCTGTCACCAAAAAAGAGAAGCTCCTTTTGAGGGTCAGCTCATCCAGAAAGAGGTGGCTGACTGCTGACTGCAAAGGAGAGGTCATCCCGTGGTCCATCTGCCAATGGTGCATTGGAGGCCACATGCAATGAGGCACAAATGCAGCAGTATGGTCAGACACTTCTGACAAGGCTTCTGGCAAGACATCATGCAAGGTCTGCATAGCGCCTTTAGCTCCTTCTGAAGGTTTGTGGTATTTAGTGGATTCATGAAGTTTAAACTGATAATACCCATCACCCTTTCTCAGTTACTTCAATAACCCCTCATGTGCACAAAACATTCTGAATTTTATGAAAATTATTTAGCCCTAACAATCTTTTTGAGGTGGGAAAATGATTAAGAAAAGGTTTTCTTTTCAAATCATTCCAATAAATTCTAGCTATTCTACCTGGTTATTAATGACATTTTGTTATTCCTAAAAGAAGATAAATGCTGAAACAACCTGGTCTGTGCACATGGGTTTATTACCAGTTATGCTTATTAAAGGCAACAGTTCAAAAATCAAACTTCTTCCTAGGGAACAAATGCAGGTAATACAGTCTTCTAAAAGATTTTAATTCAAATTAATCTATTTTAGCTTAATGAAAGGAAAATTCATTATTTCAAGGTTTTATTCTTGGAGCTACTTCTTGTTCTATTTTAAAACACGACTCCTTATAGATCATTGTTCCAAAATTATCTTTCTGAAAGACCTATTCTCAGCATGACACTAAGATATAAGAGAACTTGCTTAGGAGGAACAGTTCTAACATGACACTAAGACAGAAGAGGACTTGCTCAAGAGGAACGGTTGTAACTCACCAATTATTAATGGGAATGCAAAAATGCATGCACAGTATTAAAAGATACATATCCATCTTCTCTGGGCATTTCATTCCAGAAAGGACAAGAAATGACAGTATCTTACAACACGTTTTGGTAGTGGTGAAGTCACATACATAAGCAGGTGCCTAACTACACAAATTTCTTTCTTCACCTTGCACTCTCTGCCTCCTGGCTAGTTTGAGGAGACCAGATGATGCAGATGAGCCTTTCTTAATTTGTTGTCCATACCCTCTTTTTCACATCACTGCCCAGGTACTTAAAATATTGGGGGTTTTGACTCCAGGGGTTTCCATGTTTTTGGATATCACCAGTCTCTTGGTCTGATATTAGAATGGGCCATGGGGGTTGAACTGACAAGAGTCTGACAGGGCCAGCCCTTACCAGAAGTCAGAAGCACCACAGGGCGAAGTAGACGCAACTCAAATCTTGGGCCCAGTGCAGGAACATGTTTAAATGGCCAGTTCCCAAGGCAAAAACAAGACTAAGGATTTTGAAAGAGGACCTTGTACCAGAGGACTGGCAGCAAGACTGCACAAGAGAATGTTAGGCAGGCTCCAGGGAGAAGTTTCCACGTGCCCATCCACAGGGCCTTCCCTGTGATAGACCCAGCAGAATTCTGGGCACATGGACAAGAGAGCAGAGTGGATCTTTCTGCAGTTGAAACAGTAAACCTCTAAAAGGTTGTTTGAATTAATCCCATGCCTGCTGTCCAGTCACTTACACACCCGATAGAGACCTATGGGAAGTCAAGCACAGGTTCTCACACAGAATCCTGTACCAAGCATACTGCTGTGCAGTGCAGCCTTGCCCCCTTCTGCCCCCTAACAGCCTTCCCCCTCTGGCACTTCAAAAGAACAGACTTTACCCCCCTACCTTATCACACACACTAGAAAGAGATCAAAACAAAGACACGTCTCTCCTGTAAAATGCAACAGGACTGTTCAGAGTTGAGGTTTTTTGTTTGGTTGTTCTATTTTTTTCATCAGAGCTTCCCATATCTAGCTGATAATAATTTCTCTGAATTATTACCTGTTATCTCTGTACCTAATAATCTAAAATAAGTTTCTGTACTCACAACGATGCCTGGATAGTAGCCTCCCACAGTAACGTTTTCTGTTCTTGTAGTAGCTGCCAGACCTATGGTCAGTATGAAAACAGACACTACCAGCAGAGAGACTGTGAACCAAAGCGAAGTCTTCTTCCTTTTTTCAAATTGTCCTGTAGGAAGTAGGGAGGGGAAAAAAAAAAAAAGAGAAGCAGCAGCTTTTCGTTGTGATCATGGCAGAATAAATATAAAACATCAAAAGATTTTCTTTTTTAATCTTTTCTGTTGGTAACCCGCTTTTGTTCTCCCACTAAGGAAAACTGCTGGCAGACAACAGAAGGAATTAAAAAACACAGAGTTAGATAGAGCTCAGCATAGCTTAACGCACACGCATCGAGTACATGCATGAGAAGAGTTTTTATTAAGCTGAACTGAAAGTCAGCGACAATGATAATTACACCTTATCTTCAGCAACATTTATAATTAAGTATTGCTCACATCCGTAAGTCAGATCCTGCAGGCCCTAGACGGTTACCTACATGAAGCGCCAATGTGACTCTACCTGGACAGAACATAAAAATTCATGTTTTAGACAAGATGAGTAGAAGCTCTGCACACTGTCATGAAAACGAATGTGATCTTCCTATTCAGTGAAGTAAGCAAGCCAGTCTATCTCTGAAGCAAAGCTGTAACAAATTTGACGAGGGAGTGATACATGGGATTACCTTTTTAAACCAGTAGCTGCTTAATGAAATACATTCAGTATCAGTGGGATTTGGATTCAGATACCAAAAGTGAATCTTGGCAGTATTCAAGGCCAGGCTGGACAGGGCTTTGAGCAACCTAGTCTAGAGGAAGTTGTCTCTGCCCATGGAAGGGGGATTGGAACTGGATGAGCTTTAAAGTCTCCTCCAACCCAAAACCGTTCTGTGATTCTATGCTACGTGACCCTAACTAACAACAGGCACCCAATGACTCGAACCATGGTCCCCCTTTCTGGTGTTTTTGCTTTGAATGGCAAGGCAGGAGTGGGCAGGATCACCTCTGGAGCACTGGGCCATGGGATACCATCCTACCCCAGGCTGTAACTGGGCAGCATGTAGCTCCAGAAAGAACACAAGAGGACAGGGGCAATGCCTCTCCCCTTTGCGGCCTCATGAAGCTGAGGGGAGATCTCAGGATGAGGCAGAGGCTGTGATGCTGCACTGAATACTGGAGGCAACAGCCCTCACCAGGGAGCAATAGGTGAGAGGGGAAGGCAGCCTTGTGTGGAAGGCAGACTCTGAGGGTGCTGCTGTAACCAAAAGCACAGGCAATGCAGGAAAGTAAAAAAGCAAGCAGAAACCACTTGCAATGAGTCACTTGAGTTTGAAGTCAAGTAACTTAGTTACAGTTCAAAAACCAGGCTCAATTAGTGATATTTGCAAACCAACTCAAGTAGTTTAAATTAATAAATGCATTTATAATAAAAATCTCTATTTGTTGACATCTCCCCAGTAGAACAGACAAAATGAGTCCAGTCTTTCGGTGTGAAGTGCAAGCATCTTCGCTGAAGATAAATATCGTATGTTGAGCTTATGCATGTACAAAGTCTTCCACCTAAAGATCAAGAAATACTCCATAAGACTCTCCAGACATCTCCCCTCTAGCCTGTGCCCCAGCTGTCTGCCTCTGCCAATTATCTGTTAATCCATGGAAGGTCACTGGGGACATGGAAACAGACAGGATCATCATTATCAATGAATTCTTCATCAAGTGTATGGGGTTAAAGGCAATTCTTTCAAAGAAGCCAGTTGACATGGCCAAGCGGGGAAAGCAGACTTCAGACTTTTAACCCCACAGATCAGTTGCCCTTCCCAAAGCCTAAAATGATTAATTCAATATATCTACCAAATTTTAAGTAAAATCTGATGCCCTTGCCACACTATCATCTTTGAAAATTCACAGAGATTAGAAAATCCCCAGTAACTGAAGAAAGGCAAATGCTCTACCCATCTTTAAAAAAGGCCCAAATGATGTTTTGGGGAATTACAAGCCCATCAACCTCACTTTGGATACTTGGAAGCTGGAACCAAAAATATGGAGCAAATCCTCTTGTAAGATATTTCTGGGCACGTAAGCAAAAGGTGACTGGCAACAATCACCATGGATTTACTAGAGCCAAATCATGTCTGATCAACCCATCTGCCTGCTATGTCAAAATGACTGGACTTGTGGAGCCATGGAGGTCTTTTAAATCTAGCCATGTTTTTAACACGGTATCCCATAACATCTCATAAATCAGTTGGGATATCATGGCCTGGATGGGTGGACAAGCACATGGTTGAAAAATTAGCTGGGTTGCTGAGTTCAGAGGGAAATTAAGTGATGTGAATTCAACAGAGGACCCCAGAAAAGATCAGGGGCCGGTGCACTCCCTGTATGACAGGAGGCCGAAGGAACAGGGTTTGCTCAGCCTGGAGATGACAGGGCTTTTGGCTTGGCTACCAGAGAGGGTTGTCAGAAGGACAAACTCAGGCTTTTCATAGTAGTGCACAGCAGGAAGACAGAAGACAGTGGCATAAACTGAAATACAAAGAGCTTCAGACTGGTTACAGGAGGAGAAAAAAATCTAAAAATCAACATTAGGACAGTCGAGCATTGGAACAGGGAGCCCAAAGAGGTTGTGCTGTTTCCATCCTTGATCAGTCAAAAAAGCCCCAACAAACCTGGTCTGACTACATAGCCAACCCTGCTGTGAGCAACTTTCTGAGGAACCTTCCCACACTAATTATTCTAAGACTCTATGGTTTTATGATAATCAAGGTTAGGCTAAAGATGGCTTGGGTATGTATGCTCATATCCTCTCTTATGAAACTACAACTGCAGTGTAGGCATAGTCTAAAGGGAAGTAGGAACACAAACCTTCTGAAAGTCAATGGAACAGATGATTCTCAGTCAAGTCTTTCTGAAACCACTGAATGTTTTTATTAAAAGTGCTTGAGGAGCTAAGGCTCCACATCTTTCTCAGATTAACACCTGTACTGGAAAAGGTTAACCAGATTGTATGGAGATAGACTAAGGGTGCAACCTGTCCTCCAGAGTTTTGATTATTAGTAATGATGTGCAGAAAAGAAAGACATGAGTCTGATTGTCCAGACTGAGTTAGCTTCAAATTATCTTAGAAAAAGCATGTTATTGGTATGTGATTGGAGTAAATCAGATGTGGATTTAGTGAGCTAAACCAGAAAAGAACGTCATTATTTATAGGGTAATTTTTTTTTGACTGAACTACATTTTGACTTTGAAATTTACCCATGCCAGAAGGCATTTATATATGTGATACCCTTCAGTCCTTACATTCATCAATGTTTTATCACCTGCATCTCAAATCAGAGGCAAACATCCAACCGCATCTCTTCTTTTTCATACTTCAGTTTGGAAACTCATAGCTACATGTAGTTAGCTATAAACTCCACCCTTAGGAGAGATAACTTACAGGCAGGAAGGCCCTTTCTGGAGCAGATGCAAGATCTTGTTCTCAGGGATCGCTGTATTCTGAAGAAGATGGGTAGAAATTGGGACTAAATTGACTTCTGCTCTAGCTGTCAGACTTTCCTTAGTCATGTCAATAAAAATCTTTGCTGTATATCAAACTGTGCATAATTACATGTACCTACATCATCAGTATATTGTGAGGCCTAAAGAATATTTGTATATCAGATGAAAAAGGCCACAGCTGCAAAGTATTCCTACTATTAGCTTCCTTCTGCTATTTTGGTCATGGTGGCTCCCAAGATTTGTCGAGCCTTTGTTTACTGATGTTTGTAGCAGTTGCCATGCAGCTTTTTTGATTTGTTTTTAATACATCTTCCATCCAAAACCCAATGCTAGACTATTCCCTCAGGAGCCCTGTCGACAGCACAGAGAGGGGGGCTGGCCCAACCTTCTTCCCTGACACTCTCTGTGACAGGGCTTGGACTGAAGGCTGACCATACACAAGAATAGCAGTTAAATTAAGAACAGAGGAAATGTTGCTGTCAGTATTTCTAGGCTGAATTTCCTTCCTGTAGGCTGATGCTCCTGTAATGCAGGCAACAGTTAATGTAGGCTATTGACTTTCCAATTTTTCAATACTGAAGTGTGTCTCTGAATAATTTTTACATTTATGCCCTTTAACTCTTTAATAATGATTCAGGACGAACATTATAAATTTTTAGTTTGGACCTTAATCCAGTTTAGTTATAGCTTCAAATTCATATCTCTAGCATACCAAAAATCAAGCACGTAGGAAGAAACCTTCTTGTCATATCCTTATTAGCATTAGCCTGAGGCTGAGATCGACAGAGAGTGTGAACATGTTATTACTTTCTATTGGCATTATTCTTCAGCAGTTTTGGTCAGTAAAGTATTAACTGAGTTTTGATGCTGTAGCAATGGGCACTACAGTAAAAATTGGGAGATAAATTAGAGAGATAATACTGCTTCCACATCACTGGCTTGTGCTCTGCCTAGCATAGACTTAAATTGCGCATGAAAAGGAACAGTCACAGAAACACTCTCTGCTTTGCTTTTGTTGGGCAAAGTACCTGCTCAAGCCACTCAGCCCTGCTACCCCGAAGAAAAGAAAGAGAACACTGTCAGAACAAGGAGACACCAGACTGCTGCCTCCTTGGGACAGAAAGGCACATGAGGAGAGAAACTGAGATCACCCTCCAGAGAGTAAAAAAGAAAAAAAATACCTGCTGAAGACCAAGTTCTGCTGCACTCAGCAAAATCTCGTGTTCGCTCATCAGCTGCAGGAAACAAAATTATATTTACAATGCTCTGTTCACCATAGCTGGGGGATAAATTCAATTTGTAGGAAGGCTATGGAAAATGAATGGTTCTGTGGGGAAGGGACAGATCAGACTGCTGGTAAAACGCAAAGTGGTGGGTTTAATGATGAATGGTAGGGCCTGGATTTGAACAAAGCAAAGGGTGAATTTAAAAGGAGAATGAACAAGTCAATGATGAAACATGGCATGGAATGCATCCAGGGGTCAAGGGAAAGAAAGAACAGAGTGAAAGAGCATCTCTCAGCCTTGGAGAAAAACTTGCATATGGCCTGCAATTTAAGTAAAAACAAACCAACAAAGGTCTACATTTAGACCAAGGCAACTATGCTTTGCTAATTTCACCACTTCTTTTAAAACCCAGCTTTAGACATCATAAAGTCTGTTAAAAAGTGTGGAATGATGTTTGGCAAGGAAAGAATGGCTGCAGGATGTAGCAATTTGCAGGGATCACAATCACATTTGCTGAATATTAGCACCACACAGTTTCATACCTTCCTCTTTGATGTAGTTAAGGTGATCTAAATGGAAACACTCATTTCAAATAAGTACCCCAGCCCAATGTATATTAGCATCCTAATACGAGAAGAGGGAGGAAAGTTTTCTAGCAGAAAGCACAGTGCATTTTTATTACCTAATGAATATCATTTAAAAATATTGACATGTTTCAAGGAGTGGCATTAACCATATATAATTTCAGCTGTAATTCACTATAAACAGAGGAATGTAGTACAAAACCTATCCATTGCTTTGCTGCTATCGAGGAAAATATTTAAGGGAAGACCTTTGGAGTTTAACTTCTAATTGCTGCAGTGCTCACTTCAGTGCCACCTCTCTCAGTTTTCACTGTGTATTTTCAAAAATGGCTTGTGCCAGCAAAATTTAATTAATCCTACATTGCGTCCCAAAATTAAATGTGATGGACTGAGATACTTGAAAGAGATATTCGTACCTGCTGGTGGTGACTGCTTTCCCTTTTCTGATTAAATGCCTGACTTGTCCAGAGTGCTGAAGTAATTACACCAGATGCAACAGCATTTGTTTCAAGCCACAAGATCACAGGTTTTATCAAGTCTTATCTTTATTATGAACTTGTTGATGAAGAATCTATGAGTGTGTTACACATTCAAGACCATAGGAAACACTACTGTGCGCTCTCAAAACTCCATTTAAAAAAAACCCAAACAACCCAACCAAACAAAAAAACAATTCCCCAAACCTTGCTCTATGATGTAGTGTAGCCATAGTAAGTGATACTGTGGAGTATCACTATGACTTCATTGCTTCGGCAGCAACTGTTTCACTAATAAGTAAGTGAAAGAGCAGCTAATTACTAGTTTAAAGCTAGAGTACAGATTCTTCTTTTTCTGCTGATAACATTTTAAAAGCATATCTTCCACTGCTACCTTTTCAACACCTTTTTTTTTTCTTAAACTTGGAAGAGAAAAAGGTAAGACCTAATGCGTTATCTTAACTGGCTGTTAAGATACTTGGGTACATAGCAAAGTCTGTGTTTATCCTTCCAAACACTATACAGGGTAATTCCTATCAATAAGGTTTGTATTTTTCAACTTTAATGAATTTCAGTGGAAAAATGAAATACTTGTCCTTTCTTTTGTGCATGTCTTTATTTTCCAGGATGTACACTGTAAATACAACCAGCACACCACTTTAGCAGCAAACCACTACATTAGTACAAGCAGGAGGAAAGATACACAAGCCGGATGGGAACCCACTGAAGGGCTACAGCCTCGCGACGGCCCCTGCCTGCCCCAGCCGGCTCCGCACCCTGCTCACACTGCCACCTGCTCCAGCACAGCACCTGCCCTTTCTTACCCAGCACATAAGGGCATCTCCCACATTAATTTTTCTGTTAACGCCCCACATACAGGTATTCGTACCATGGTTAAACCATCATCACAGCAGCTCATAAAGCGTGGCAGACAGCTCCAGAGAACTGGTGTTTAAAAACACGTCAGTGAGTGAGAGTCAGAGAGACAGCACGACCCGCACCAGCAATCTCGGGCTGAAATCCCCCAGTGTCCCACTTTGGGGACACAGCCCGGGCAAAGTCCCCGCTTGTGCCTTTCCACCCCAGTAGCCGGACCCGCGACAGGGGCGGCTGAAGCCACTGCTCCCCTCCAGGCTCGCTCTCCCGCCCGCCCCCGGCAGCCGGCTCCCGGTCTCCCGGCGCGTCCCCGGTGCTCACGCCCTCGGCGGGGCAGGGAAGTTGGCGCGGGGCAGGTGTCGGGGCTCACCTGTAGGGTCCAGCGCGCCCAGCGGACCCGACACCGCGGCGGGGGGCTGCGGCGCCATCATCCTCCGCGGACACCTCCGCGCCGCTGCGCTCCTCACCACGGCCGGTGCTGGCCGCGGGGTGCGGGCGGCCGGCGGTTCCGCCCCGAGGGGGAGCTCAGCTGGGGCCGGGGCGGGGCGAGCGGCGCTGCCCGCGGCGACGATGGCTTCGTGGCGCCGGACCAGCGGCTCGTTCTGCTTGTGCTGCCGTGTCCAGGCTGACCTTTGGGCGGGTGGGGGGACGGAGGAGCACAGCCTAGGTCATTATTTGCTCAGTGATCAATAGCTTAATTCATTTTACGTTCCACCTGTGTCCCAGGTTTGGTTTCGCTTCTTGATCTGTTCTTGGCCTATGGCAGGGGACCAATTTGTCACCTGGTGGAGATGAAGCTTTCCTTTCAGCTTTCCACTTCCCCTTTTTTTAAAAAATCGATACCAATCAGGAGTAAAATACTACCGCAACCAGAAATAGTAATAAAATTAGTAACAAACCCAGGCATCTTGGAGACATAGGTTATGGAATGCACGGGCTGTGACAGGCAGCATCAATACTCAGAAGATTCTGTAGGGCCATTGTTTTTCTTGTGTGGTGTCTGTCAATTTCTCAACCTCACTATTTCTCTCTCCTGTCTCAGTTGTCATTCCCACAGCAGATCCTGCCACTTGTCTTGCTGCTACCCTGGAGCTGCTAGTGCTACCAACTGCCTGGATATGTGACTTCTGTCTGAGAGAGTCTGGGAACAACCAAGAAGAAACAGCCAACAGCCAACAGCTATGCTGGTATGGTGCCTACTGTTCCCTTTGCAGGCTTCCCCATACAAAGAACAGAAGAACATTTTTTTTGTGGACACTGTTTTTGATAGGCTGCCAAGCACTTTGTGTACACTAAAGTGTGCTGTCCCGTTTGCATCAAATACAGCTTATTTAACATTCTTATTTCTCTGTTGCTCAAACCTGCAAATGGATACATGTGCATGTATTTCATTTTCATAATATTTTTTTCAGTCTCTGGCTGACTTCCCCAGGAAATGGTAAGATTGGTAGGATGGTAGAAAATGGAAAGAGACCACTATCTTCAATACCAGCTGTAGTCTATGAAGCAAAGTAAGCCAGGATGTGAGGCCAAGCACAAAGACACTTTTTTCTCTTTGTATCCTTAACCAGAGGGGTTGAAGAGACAAATGAAAATGGAGGTAGTATTTGTACTATTAATTACTAATTATTAATATAATTTAATTACATAGTAGATGGAGAAGACAGGCAAGGTGATGGTACAACTAAAACATTTATTCAAAAGTGACAATCAATAGGTGTGCTAAAAAAGCCTCAAAATCTGGTATGGAGTCTCAGGTTCAGGGATGGCTATGGATAGAGATTTCCATCAACACTAAATAACAGGGAGGGCTGAGGAAGACTTTAATTCCTCAAACCATTTGGAAAACAAATATCATGTGCAGCATGTATTCTTGGCTGTGATGGGCAATAACTTTTTTCTACCAGCAGCCACCAAACAGACATAACAGGACAAAGGGAAACTCCTCTGGAATTCTTTTCAGTAAACAAAAAGGAAGTTGTAAGTCCTTTCTAAAATAATTTTATTATAGAAAATAACCTTTGATGTATGACTCATGTTTTTTACTCCAAATTTCAGTAGAGTAAAAAATAGATCTGGTACTACAGTCCCGGATATCAGAGGGTAAGCATTAAGAAACTATGGAAAAATGACTGGTGAGGCTGCCTGGACCTAAAACCCCAAGCATTTGAATGTTGAAAAATCATGGATTTACTTTAACTCCAAAATGAAAAAACCTGTATAGCACTTTCATCCCCTAAAAGACATTAGAATAGGTCAAGAACAACTGTAGACATAGTGGATAAGTAGCTCCCTGAAAGAGGATATTAAAGTAGGGAGTAAACCTACGGGAAAGGAGAGCCACAGTTTGCAGGGTGAGAAACTGCAGAACCAGAGAGAAAGAATGGATAAAAATGTAGCCAAGCTAATTGTGGTAAAGAAAAGGATAACTGGTAGAATTCTTCAACTATATAAGTTAAAATAATTCAAAGAATTATTCAAAGAAGATAAATGCCAGGGATGGGATGAAGATTGAGGCTGCTCCAAATCTTGAATGAACACATTGCCTCAGTTTTCAGTAAAAGAAGTATTTATATGAGTGTACTGGCAGAGTACCTAAAGCAAGTGAGGATGACCTTAGCAGATGTGAAGTGGAAGCGTAACTTACTATGTTTCTTGTGTCAGGCCCAGGAAAATTGCACCCCAAATGTTGAAACAATTAGGGGCTATCTTTTAAGTCCTGAGCAAAGTTTTCAATGAATCAGTCCCGTTGGAGGCAAAGCACTATTGCTGGAGAACAAGCAACCTGTCTTAAAAAGGCAGAGGGAGTAAGTGGAACAGCAACTCCTTGCCTCATTTATTTAACTGTGGAAAGTTTTAGAGGTAAGTGAAAAATGGGTTCAATTACAGTGTGGTTCATCAAAGCTAGATCATGTCAGACTATCAAGATCTTTGACAGGGTAAGTGATTCCTGAGCAAAAGCAATGCAGTGAAGCAAATCTGTCTGGATTATGCTACACATTTAATAGAGTCCTTCAGAGAAAATGGCTTAACATGGAGCAGACAGCTGCAAGTATGGGTCACCATCAGGTGTGGAGATTGATAAAGGGAAGCCAAGATACCAAATGAGGCAGGCTGAGGTGCACCTCAGGGACCAGTCTGGAGGCAACATCACCAGTGGTGTTGTGTTTAAGCAGTGTATGTCTGGTTATGAAATGTGTAACCATCACAAAGCTGGTAGACATTGCTATTACTACAGGAATAGGAGCATACTACCATGTTAGAAATGGGTTAAGGTGGAGCTTACACTCTTAAAAACTAACAGTGAAGTTTTTTATTGTAACTTTGGAGTCTTCCCAGTTCAGTGTCATTGAGGAAGGATCTGTGTATCACAGGCAGTGCTTGCACAATGCCAATGGAGACCGCTGAACAGATGCGTTCTGGGATGCATTATTTAATACTTGTTATTTAGCTCGATGCATTGCAAGTCTGGCAGAACTTCATTTTATATTTATGTTTTTTATTTTCTCTAAAACCACAAGGATTTTTTTCACCATTTTGATGTGTAACTTGAATCTAAATTTTCTTAATATTTTTGAGGTCTTTGCTTCTCAGATGCCTGGCTCATGTACCTTGCTCATATGTCAAAATTAAATCATTTGTTAGATTAGTGGCCAGGCGTCCCCACACTCTAAGTTAGGCTCACAAGACTGTTAAAGAGTTCTTCTAGTGTGAGTGTTGCATGGAACATGGCGTATTTGTCAGGATAATCTTTGTATTCTCACCTGAAAAGTACCCTGTCAGCACTGGGCTTTAAGGTCTCCATGATGCCCTTTTGATCTTTCTTGTTCCTTTCCTAGGGCACACTGCAGCTTTGAAGGGTTTTGTATTTTGTCCTAAAGGTCATCATTATGGTGGGGAATGCTTTGGAGCTGAGGTTGGTCACATGTGAAATTTGTATCCTGTGTGTCCCTGAAGTCTTTCCTTCTTTGTTTTAAACAAGACCAATCTCTTTGGTCTTTCCTCAAAGGCTGTGTTTTCTGGGCTAGTGGATATTCCCATGGCTTCCCTCTAGTCACTGTGTCATCGTACTCTGTGTGGGCCATGTCTTTCTTAAAGGGTGATGCCCAGTGGCTGGGCAATATTCAGTTATTTTGAATTCTAAGTCTGTCTACCAGCATACGTACTCCAAGTTACTCAACAGTTTCTCCCAACATTATGTCCTAAGCAAATTTAATATACTTTATACGCCAAGGCCACCAGTGACAATGTACCAGGCAACGGTAGGACCTCAACACTTCATCTTCCAGGACCATTGATAGGCGTGAGTCCCCAGTTACTTTTTTCATCCCTTCTATTGTATGGTCATTTACACTGTCTCTCTGTAGAAGGGTCTGGTCTGGCACTAAGTCCTGCTATATTGGTTTCATTCCCTTGCAAGAGTTATTTTCTCAGCAACTCCTTTTGGGCATCCATTGTGGGCTTTCAGCGGTGGTGATGTTGTCTTTGGGGAAAGGTAGGTTGTTTGGTTTTAGTAAAATTCAAAGCAAAACCCCCATTCTTTCCAGCCCTCCTCCATGGCAAGGGTTTGTTTCCCATGCCCAGGCTCAGAGATGCAGTCACAGAGACTGTTAGTGTGAAGCAGCTTAAATGGTCCCCATGCTCTTAACTCTTCACCATAGTATTTGGCCTGCTTTTGTATTCCTCAAAACGTTTGGGTCTTCTTCTCCCAGTATTTGAACCCCCAACAGAAACATAAGCCAGTCATTGCTGAGGCTAAGCTTAGGATTCTTAATAGAAGAACTGAGCAGGCTTGCCCAGTCATACAAGGTCATGACAATGAGGTAATTAGACTTCCTTTGTTCATAATTTACAAACAGTATTTATTGGCATGGTTACTGGTACAATCCCCCTAGGAATACACTGCCTTAGTTCAGCTGGGCCGTATAAGGAAATCATGCAGGAAGTGAAAGGAACAAGAGTAGTCATGAGGTTGAGGTTAATGGCCACCGACTATTTGGCTATTAAAAGACAATTGCTCGACAATTCACTTCAAAAATTCTTCTTCCTGGAGCCAGCCAGTTTCCAAGCTGTGGTGTGGTTTTATTAGCAGAAGATTTAAAAGACACTGTCTGCCAGCTTAAAAGGGAATAGAAGATAACACTGCTCAGAGGCATCCAAGAGAAATGAATGACACACAGGTACGTATTTGTTAAAATCAGATTTAAAGTCTTTAATCAACTTCAGTAGACTTTTCACCCATTAATTTGTGTAGTCAGTTTTTTAACTCTATAGACTTTAAGCAGTCTCAACATGTTGTGACAAGGAGCTCCATGGGTACCTGTGTGCCATGTGAAGAAGAGGGATATCCCGGGGGGAGTAAGAAGCAAACTCTTGCTCTTTTCAGAGCAAGCTAAAAGTCAAGTTAAATGTCAGGTACATTTAGGAGAAGACATCTGCGGAAATGTACAATGCCCTTAAAAAACCCCACAATTGCTACATGATATCAAAAGT